TTTACATCGTTTGACCCAACAATTAAATTAAAACTCTCTCTTGATCGAACCAATTTAACACTCATTTCAACACCATTAATTAAAAATTTATCTTGGTTAAAAATGTCACCGTGAAGATGACCAATCATTTCTATTTCCTTACTTTCACTAATCAATTCCTGTCTTTTAACAAATCCTATGTTTTTACCATCTGTAGAATCCATTTTTCCTGCTGTATCCTCATACCAAAGACTACAAGTAAGATGAGATTGTTTAGCAGCAGGGGCATAGTTTAAAAGGGTTTCCATGTATGCTCGATATGCATAGGTATTATTAGGTGGTGATACAAGTTTTTGGTTTAAATAAACATCAAGTTGACTAAAAAGTGAATGCAGCCAATTATTTACAGGTGCTACTATTGTAGTAGATACCAAGTTAGTTGAATCTTGATTTAATACTTTTGCCTTTATGTGGAGTAATGTATGAGACAAATCTATGTAGTCATCGCCGGTCCCAGGAACTTGAAACTCGATAGGTCCATCATCACCAAGAGATGAATACAGTAAAAGGATACGAATCGAAACAAGTGACAGTGTTGCGCGCGTTAATTGACCATGGCTCACAGGCTACGTTCATGAGTGAAAGAGCAGCCCAGATGTTACGATTAAGGAGAACGCCTGTCAATGGCACTATCACTGGCGTTGGCTCTACTAAAACAAACGTTAAATATGCTGCAGAAATCGAACTTCTATCAAGACACGACCCAAACTTCAACATAAGGATCAAAACATATATAATGTCAACGCAACTGACAACCCAACTGCCGACTCAAACTATCTCCACCAGCACCTGGCCGCACCTACAAGGACTTGTATTGGCTGACCCAAGCTATAATCAACCAGGACGAGTAGACCTATTACTAGGGGTCGATGTGTGTGCTCAAATAATGAAAAGCGAAGTTATCAAGGGACCCCCAGGAACACCTTGTGCTCAAAATACGACCCTGGGTTGGATTCTTTTTGGGAGCGTGGAGGACAAATCAGCCGATAAATTGATTGTTATGCACCATAAACTTGACCTAAACGATATGCTCAAACGAATGTGGGAACAAGATGCATACGACAAAGTAGTACCTACAGCAGATGATCGAAGGTGCGAGGAAATCTACGAAAATACAACCACAAGAAATAATGACGGACGTTATATTGTGACTCTACCCAAAAAAACTAAAATGCTATTATCAACCTAAGGAAACACGCGAACAATAGCTCTGCAGAGACTCTATCAGTTAGAACAAAGATTCAAGAAAAATCCAAAACTAAAAAACGATTATGCTACGGTTATGAAAGATTACGAAACAAATTACATGGAAGAGGTACCCGGACACGAGATGACTAACCCATCGGTATACCTACCACATCATGCTGTTGTTAAGGAAGAAAAGGAAACTACAAAAATAAGAACAGTTTTTAACGCATCACAAAGAGGAAACAACAACATCTCACTTAACGACGAGCTGTTGGTGGGACCGCAGCTACAAGGAGACATGAGAAGTCTCATAATGAGATGGCGGATGAAAAGAATCTGCTTTGTAGCGGATATACAAAAAATGTATCTCCAAATCATGGTTACGAGAGAAGACCAAGACCTGCAACGAGTACTCTGGAGATATGATGATCAAGATCCTGTCAAAGACTACCGACTTACCAGGGTCACGTTCGGAACTGCTTCTGCTCCTTACTTGGCAGTAAGGACCTTGCACCAAGTAGCTCATGACGAAGGCCAAAATCATCCTGAAGCAGCAGAAATAATAAAGAGGGATTACTTCATGGATGATATGATGTCTGGGAAAGACAACCTCACCGATGCTGTCAGAATAGCCAAAGACATAGACGCCATACTGCAAAAGGGAGGCTTCAAATTAAAAAAATGGTGTTCTAATGACGCAGACTTCCTAAAGGAATTTGAAGAGTCTGAAAGAAGTTCTCATGTAAAACTAGACATAACATTAGACGGGATTACACGAGCATTAGGACTACACTGGAATATTGGCAAAGATCTATTTCAATACAGCTTAAACCTATCTGCAACGGCAAATATAATTACAAAGAGAATAATTCTGGGTGACCTACAGAGATTATTTGATCCACTGGGCTGGTTGGCACCATCTGTCTTACCCGTCAAACTTCTGATTCAAAGATTATGGCTGCAAGGAGTAGCATGGGATGAGGAGGTGGACGAAACGATTGCTGCAGAATGGAACAATATACGAGATTCCTTTCATATGTACCTACCAGATATCGAAGTAAACACATGGCTAAATACTACTGAAGCCACAATAAATAATGTTACTATCCACGGATTCTGTGATGCATCATCTCGAGCTTACGCTGCAGTGGCTTACCTAAGAGTAAGAACAGAAAGAGGTGAAGTGAAGACAACAATCATCGCTGCTAAAACCAAGGTTGCACCTACAAAACCACAATCCCTACCTCGTCTAGAACTAAGTGGCGCTGCACTGCTTGCTGGTCTTTTAAACCAGATAAAGGAATCAATGAACGTACCTGCCTGTCAGATATTTGCTTGGACTGACTCAACCATTGTACTCTCCTGGTTGTTTGGTGATCCTGCAAGATGGAGCACTTATGTAAGAAACAGAGTTGTTGAAATAATTGACACCATCGGCAATCATAATTGGTACCATGTCAAATCACCAGAAAACCCAGCTGCGGTGGTGGAAAGGCCCAGAGTGGCTGCGAGTAGGGGAAATACAATACAGCAGACCCAATACTATCTGGACAGACCTGGAAAGAAAGAAATCGATACATGTAAATTTGAAATTAGACAAAGAGAAGAGTATTAGTACAAAATTTGAGGATTGTGACAAGTTGCAAGAATTGCTTAAGATGATTATATACTCTAAAAGATTCTTAAAGGGAAAGAAAATGGAATACAAAGACTTACCTGTGACCACGACGGAACTTAATGATGCGCTAAAAACCTGCATAAAAATAACTCAGAAGGACAGCTTCGAAGAGGAAATACAGCACCTGAAATCAAGGGAACAAATTAGAAGAGCCAGTAAACTAAAGAGTTTAAAGCCTTACCTGGACGATGATAACATCCTCAGGGTGGGCGGCCGACTGCGTCACTCGGACCTAAATGAAGACTGCAAAAATCCAATTATTCTGGATCACGACACTCATCTTACCTCTCTTCTCGTTGCTGACGCACACTCTAAGACGCTACACGGTGGAGTTCAAGTAATGCTCTGCTTTCTGCGAACAAGATTCTGGATCCTAAGAGCTAGAATATTAGTAAAGGCAAAGATAAGAAAATGCCTTATTTGTGCAAAACTTAACGCTACAGCAAGATCACAACTAATGGGGGACTTACCGCGAGTTCGAGTCACACCAGCTAAACCCTTCTTAAACACCGGCATGGATTTTGCCGGCCCGTTCCATATCTTGATATCTAGAGGAAGAGGAGCAAGGACAAACAAAGCATACATTGCTCTCTTTGTCTGTATGTCGACGAAAGCGATTCACTTAGAATTAGTGGGAGATCTTACCTCAGATGCCTTCATCGGAGCCTTCAGAAGATTCGTAGCTAGACGTGGAAGATGCGCTCACATCTGGAGTGACCAACGACGTAACTTTGTTGGGGCAAACAGGATACTCGCAGCAGAATGGGCTGAAGCCAGGCTTCAACTTGAGGGTCCGATTGCGGAGACGCTAGCAATGGATGGGACTGAATGGCATTTTATTCCAGCCTATAGCCCACACATGGGTGGACTGTGGGAGGCGGGAATCAAATCGATGAAAAACCATTTAAAACGGATAATGACCTCTCACGTAACTTACGAAGAAATGAGCACCTTGTTATGCCAGATTGAAGCTTGCCTCAACTCACGACCGCTTACCGTATTAAGGGACACAGACACAGACAACATCCAACCATTAACGCCTGGCCATTTCCTTGTCGGTGAGACGCCTATTACGGTTCCGACACCAGACTTCCAAAACATCCCAACAAGTCACTTATCAAGATGGCAATACCAACAAAGATTGTTGACGGACTTCTGGCGTCGATGGCAACAAGAATACCTGTTGAGAATGCAACAGTGTCCAAAATGGCAGAGGAAGGTCAAGGAATTTGACATAGGTCAAATTGTCCTCGTAAAATCAGATAGTTTGCCCCCAGGTAAATGGATGATGGGACGTATTGTAAAAAAACATCCGGGTGGTGACGGTGTCACTCGTGTGTACAGTGTAAAGAGTGGTGCTAGTGTCGTGCAAAGATCTGTAAATAAGCTGTGTTATTTACCAATAGACATTGAATAATGATTTATTTTATTATAACTAAGGCAAATTGTGTATATCCATATTCTATATTATGTATTGTTTAACTAATTTTGTACTGATCTTTGAATCTATTGTAACCAAACGATTATACTGTTTGATAATTAATTTATTAAAGGGCTCATAGGCCCTTTGGTGGGCGGTATGTTCGGATAGAATGATCTATATAAGAGCGAGCGTAAGTGTCAATGCGTATGCATGTGTGAGTCCGTGTAATATTTAAAATCATAATTTGTTGAATCAGTTGCAAATAAATCATCAAGTAGTAAACACGTCTCTCTGTTAACAAATCCCTATAAAATGAAAAGTGAACCTTAATACCAAGAACAAAGATTATATGTGAAAAACGACTCTGTTCGGTATAAACAACGTTCAAAGGTGATTGTTCATTCTTGGCTTAACGTGGACCAAGTTGTTCTGTAAAAAGTATTTTTACGAAAAAATATAATTAAATCTAAAATTACTATTTTTTTTTAATTGTCGTAGTAGGAAAGTAAATTTAAAAACAAGTCGTTTAAAAAGTATTTAAGCCGATTGAGTTCAAATCGCGTCGCAATTTTTTTGGTTAAAACAACTTTGCCTATGTACTATATCTTCATTTCGATCATAGTCAAACAGAGGTTCATAAAGAAATTAATGTGGATAATTTTTCGCGTGGAGGTTCAAGAGCTGTGCAAGCCGCACCTGTTCCTGCCGGCGGGCAAGGTGGAGGAGCTGTACGCGGCGCTGCGGCAGAAGGACGCGCAGATCTACGTGCAGCGGTGCCGCGCCGCCCCGCCGCCGCGTACGCGCCTCGTGGCCTGCTGCGTGTCCGCGCTGCGCCTGCTGGCGCTCGCCGACCCCTCCGTGCACGGCGCAGCACGAGCGCAGGCGCGCCTCCGCGACCTCGACCGCGACAGGTACGTGCGCCTCGCGTGCTGCGTGTGCTGCATGTGCTGCGTGTCGCGCTGCGCCTGCTGGCGCTCGCCGACCCCTCCGTGCACGGCGCAGCACGAGCGCAGGCGCGCCTCCGCGACCTCGACCGCGACAGGTACGTGCGCCTCGCGTGCTGCGTGTGCTGCATGTGCTGCGTGTCGCGCTGCGCCTGCTGGCGCTCGCCGACCCCTCCGTGCACGGCGCAGCACGTGCGCAGGCGCGCCTCCGTGACCTCGACCGCGACAGGTACGTGCGCCTCGCGTGCTGCGTGTGCTGCATGTGCTGCGTGTCGCGCTGCGCCTGCTGGCGCTCGCCGACCCCTCCGTGCACGGCGCAGCACGTGCGCAGGCGCGCCTCCGCGACCTCGACCGCGACAGGTACGTGCGCCTCGCGTGCTGCGTGTGCTGCGTGTCGCGCTGCGCCTGCTGGCGCTCGCCGACCCCTCCGTGCACGGCGCAGCACGTGCGCAGGCGCGCCTCCGCGACCTCGACCGCGACAGGTACGTGCGCATGGCGCTCGCCGACCCCTCCGTGCACGGCGCAGCACGTGCGCAGGCGCGCCTCCGCGACCTCGACCGCGACAGGTACGTGCGCCTCGCGTGCTGCGTGTGCTGCGTGTCGCGCTGCGCCTGCTGGCGCTCGCCGACCCCTCCGTGCACGGCGCAGCACGTGCGCAGGCGCGCCTCCGCGACCTCGACCGCGACAGGTACGTGCGCCTCGCGTGCTGCGTGTGCTGCGTGTCGCGCTGCGCCTGCTGGCGCTCGCCGACCCCTCCGTGCACGGCGCAGCATGAACCCAGGCGCGCCTCCGCGACTCATCCAGTCCAGAGCGAAGCGAATTGTCAACGATCGAGTCCTTTCCGATCGACTCGATTCACTGGCGCTGCGAAGAGATGTTACATCCATAGATATTGCATTTTCTTTCGCATTTACCACGGGGAGTGCTCCGATGAATTGTTCGAATTGATCCCAGCCGCCAAATTTCACGAACGCACATCACGACAAAACTCCTGATACGATCCACCACTGTACGTTTCACTAGGAGTTTTCTTCCGCTTACGACCTCTCTGTGGAATAGTTTACCACCGGCGATTTTTCCGGACCAATACGACTTAGGCTACCTTTAAGAAAAGAGCTTCCTCCTTTTTAAAAGGCCGGCAACGCACCTGCAATTCCTCTGGTGTTGCAGTTGTTCATGGGCGGCGGTAGTAACTTACCATCAGGTGAGCTGTATGCTCGTTTGCCCCCTCTCCTATAAAAATAAACTACAATTATTAAAGGTTACAGATGCGTCACCACCTATAAGGACCGCGAAATGACCAAATGAAATGCCTAACTAACCCTAACGGCCTATAATTATTAGTTATTTATTATAAAATCTTGAATAATGATTTTAATTGTTTTTAATTTGTCCTTTACAGCCCCTGGCCCGAAGACGGCATAGAGTTTACAACATTGTGGTGCCGTAGCATAAGTGTACAGTGCTCGCTGTGGCAAATACGCCTTCGTGACTTTCCACAACCTCTGCTCAGTATGTCTGAACTTCGATTGTGGGGCACGCTTTTGGCAGCTGAAGAACAGCCACCTCCACGAGGTATTCAATTTATATATGTATTTAATTTATTTTTTATATAACCTGATAATATATTCTCCTAGAACATCATAAAATTAAAAAAACAGCATTCATGATTTATACTCTAATTTTATCTTTGTGAACTACTGGATTCAATAATATCATAGACTTAGTTTCAATACAACGTTGAATAGAAAGTTATTTCCAATGCTGTTAATACTTTTATTTACTATCACTATCACTAAAGATCATCATAGGTCCACTGTTGAACATAGGTCTGTCCATTGGTCAAAGTACAGCCCTGAGCTACCTGCATACATCTACCTGCGTGTTTCATCAGGTTATCATACCATCTAGTGTGGCGCCGGTCAACGTTGTGGTTGCAACGATGCTGCTACTTGAAATCCTTTCTTGCCCATCGGTTGTCGGTTCTTCAAGCATCTATATGGCTGGCCCACTGCAGCTTCCTATTAGCTTCCAAATCATGCAAAGGTTGTGGTGGCAACTGTTGCATTCCTTTCTATTAAAGAAAAAGTAAAGTAAAATTAGTTTTTTAACTAATACAATTAGTTTTTGAATTTACTGTATAACATATACAATCGTTTATTTTCAGCGGTCAGAACTGTAATCATCGACCAAGGTGCACCGTGGGGCGAATTCGAACTGGAGCGTAGTATGATGCCACTAAAATGGTACTATGATTTATGCTGTGAAATGTCAGAGTACAGTTACGCTTTTGGACCTTGTTGGGAACCAGTTATTGCACACTGTAACCTTGGTAAGTGAAGTTTTTTGCTTTTTTTCACTGTGAAATAAATAGGTATTTATAATTAATAGAATCAGGCGTTACTTTGCGGTAATCCATTATATTAAAGCTTTTAAAAAGTTACTTCGAAAACATCCGCTCTATAAAATAAAATGATGTGTCTTACCTAGTATGAAAAGCACCTCCCGCCCTCCCTCAAATGCGTGCACTATCCCCGTCACCACTAATCCCAGCAGCACTACTCCCAACACCACTACACTAGGAAAGACACACCACTGACGACAATACGACACGTGTTTCGCCTCTACACTAGACATCCTCAGGTGATGTAGACTCTGCGATGGCTAATCGTCAAGTGAGCGGTGAGCCAAAAATACAGCCTTTTTTACAGACAGGTTGCGTCAGCGTTCTGGGTAAGACACATAATTTTATTTTATAGAGTGGATGTTTGCGAAGTAACTTTTTAAAAGCTTTAAATAGTTTTTTATTATGCTGCAATTCTTGAAAATGACTGCAAATATTAAAATGTTGCTATGTATATGATGAAAAAGAAAATATTATTGTAATAATAGGTTATGATTGATTTTACTGTATTTTTAAAGCCTTCGATCAAGTATCTCGGCCATCCTTGGACCCGTCGGCCCCACTAGCTTGGTGGGACAAAGTACGACTACTCATGCACGGTCGTCTAACGGTCAATTGCAATAAGTTCACTTGTCTGCTGCACGTGTCTCTCGATCCTTACAACACCACCGAGGAGATGGAAGTCACCTGGAATGATCTTGTCTTGGATTGGACTAATGGTGAGCTAACATATCTTATCTTCAATGTAAACTGTAGTCGTTACACATTACAATTACAAAGTAATTTCCATTATAGATGATGTAATATATTAATATATTTATACTTGTGGTAAAAATTTGAGTGCTTCATGATGACTTTGGGTTGCGATTTAGAATCATGTAATTGTTCCGAGTCTGGATGTTTGTCTTTGTACAATTTATGTATATAAACTGCCTTCACAATACAGGAGAAATCCTAGCACCTATTTTTTTTAAATATGTATTATGTACCAGTAGCATCAAATAAAAATTAATTTTGATGATAACATCGCGCGGGAAAAAGCACTTTAGTCTTTATTATCGCAATAATTTTTTTATAGGTTAAACAACATCATTTGTTTTGGAATGTTCTCTAGTTTTGTACCAAACACATAATAAATATCGTTGGCCTTTTCAATTAAAAAAGTAACACTAAGAATGTCTTCCTATATCTTGGAGACGATTTATATATCGTAAATTGGAAATGGATAAACATTGACCTAGAACAATAATTTCAACGCTATGTAAATATTTATTTCGTGCAGAAATTGATCAGTCAAACGACTGTCGTTACCATATGTGTTACCGAACCGTCGTAATAAATGCAAACAGCTATCGTGTTAAGGTAAGAGACAGACAGAGACATCGCATTATGACGTCTGGACTCTTGATTTTGTATGAAAAACTATGCATTAGAAACACACTTAGAGTAGAAACAGATTGATCATATGTACGCAGCGTATGTGATGCAACGATCCCACGTTGGTGAACACACTTGACATACGTATGCAACGTACGTTTGGCGTCAGACACTTGTCTTCTTAGCGGACGTATGAGTACAAACTTATAGCATGTTTTCTGATTCTGGGAGTGAGTTTGAGAATGATTTACTTCTGATATTCATAAATGAATATATCCACGCCATTAAGGGGCTACTCCATGCGAACGACCTTGAGCATTTTGCCGGCGGCACGCCGCTCGCCTCAATATATTGCTTATTTGAAATATGTACGACGCCACCACCTATTGTAGGTACGAACGTAGTATTATTTTTTCAACATCAATGAACTAATTTATGGAAATACACACAGCGTACAACGATAAATGTATTTTAATTTTTTTATTCGGTTTATTAGTTGCATTATATTAGAATTATGTATTTTCATATATTATCTAATTATGAAATTTTATAATTAATTATATATTAAAAATGAAGCATTGAAAATTGTGAGTTTAAAAGATACCTATTCACTATAGGTAAATAAATAGATAGCTCGCCTTTTGTACAAATATTTGGTGCAATAAATAATAAATAAATAAATAGGATGTTTCGTAGATGTGTTTTTGATTATTGTTAATTTTTATGTGTCACGTATTGAAAAGTAATATACCTACCTACTAATACAAAAGTCAACAAGAAGTATAAGGGTTCAATCTTTCAATTTCAATTGTAAAAAAACGTTACCCCCACACTAGGATTTTCTCCTGTATCGTGGAGGCAGTTTACAAACATAAATTGCACAAGGACAAACATCCAGACCCGGAACAATTATTTGTAAGCCATACAAATACTTGTTCCGTGCGGGATTCGAACCCGCGGCCCTCAGCGCAACAACTAATTGCTAAGCCACTGCCCCACGGAGCCGTCGCCGGGTTATAGCTAAAGTGACCATACGTCCCGTTTTGAACGGGACTGTCCCTTTTCTCGGTCACCTGTCCCATTGTCCCCAAACAAAGCTCCGGGACACAAAATTGTCCCGTAACTCGTTGGATGGAAGTATTCAAAGTCAACAATCTTCAACATAATTTTTTTTAATCGAATATATTTTATGTCTACCTGGTACGAATGCTCCGGTAGAAAGAGTATTTTTTTTATTTTGAATAAATTGTGGACGTCTGAAAGAAACACTTACGGTTCCAGAGTTCTAAAGGCGATGTTGTTAACAAAGATAACAATAAAAAAACCTGAGCAGAATTTTATTTTTATTTAAAATCATCACCAACTTTATTAAAAAAAAATTAATCCACTGACAAATGTAATTAATAATTAAAAAAAAATATGTTGCATTTAATAATTACCGTCTATACCGAATATAATTTTACACTGAACACTAATTGTATAAAGTTATAGTTTTTAGAGTATAAATAAACCCATGTCCTGTTTTGAGTTAAAAAATAAATGGTCAGTTTAGTCTTTTTAGTTAAATTTAGTTTTAAAAATTTTTAGTTAATAGTAAAAAGTAGGTATATTAGTACCTACTTAGATACTTTTTACCGAATTATAAGTATAGAACACCTTATGTACTCAATTATTTTTTGAAAAATAAGAAAAAACAAGCAATAAATAATATACTATATTTTAGCAAAAAACTATAACTTAGTAATACTAATTATAACTTAGAACATAAATGAAAAACTCATAACTGACTTTTGGGCCCGACCCAGAATTCGAACCCGGGACCTCATAATCAGCAGTCGCACTACTACAACCACTAGACCAACAAGGCAGTATTATACTTAATAAGATATTGTGGTTGGGTGATAATATTGAATTAGCCTTTTATAGTGTAAATTATAATATTTGTCGAAATTTTAATTATGGATTCGAACCTTACATGCTAATGGTGCTTCATTTTTTTATTTGCATTTACTTCAAAGAAAATACACGCAAAAAGCTTCATCGCGCAGTAAAAAACACAACAAATATATGTATAACTAATACGAAAAGTTATACCCAAAACAAACAAATAATACTACCTATAAATAACCTAATAAGTAATATTACGAGTAATATGACGTGAATTGCGCTGATCGACGCTCTAACGACACGGGATTCGCGTCGAAGAGCTCAGGGCTCACTGACTTCAGCAAACCCGTGAGCAGTGAATATGCCCAGATTTTAAAATAATTTCTTAATAAAATCAAATTTTGGTCTTTTGAAAAAAAATTTACTATAGAAATGTTTATTAATAAATTGCCTATCCATTGGTGTAAATCGCAAAATAAAATAATACTTACTTTACGAGGAGATGCATGTTATCAATAATAATTTCACATTTATGTGGTTTCGTTGTAAGGAGATTATATTAATATTTATTCGTTTAAAAAAAATTGGATATAGCTTTTATGGAATCAAGATTATGTAGAAATATAATGTGTTTTTTTATTTATTGATATATGTTTTAAATAAAAAGTAGATAGCTCCTAAAAACCACACAAATAACGACTAGCGCGACATTTTGCTCAACCTGCGCCTTAAGAAAAAGAAAAAAGTTAAGAACCGAAGATATTGGATACATGAAATGAATAAACAAAGAGAGACGTTTGGAGAATACCATACGTTAGTTATTTAAGGAACTGGAAAATAAAGACGAACGATTTTTTCAGTACTTTCGTATGACAAAAGTGCGATTAGAGGAGATTCTTAAAATTGATGAAGGACAACGCGCTCACAGAATACCAGCGTAAAATAGCAACTTAAAGCTGCTGTGTTTCGTATGGTGAGTGTAGAGAACCGGAGACCCTTTGTCCTGGAAACGAGGCATTCCATCTTAGTCCTCACGGGTGACAACGCATCTGCATTTTGATTCGCAAACGAGAATAGATGTCTATGGGCCACAGCAACCACTTACCATCAGGTGGACTGTGTGCTCGTTTGTCACCCTTATACTATAAAAATAAATAAATATTGAAAGTGATATAAAAAAAGAACATTCATATTTACGGTAGTCTATTGGTACCAGCGGAAGTCTCGCAATGTGTAAAATAAAAAACTATTTTCCAATAACATTTATAGATATTCAATTTTTGTGTCTCTTGAAAAATTGGGACGCCATGAATTCGCCTTCTTAAATATACATACGAGTGAGTATACTTTAATAGTGCACGCAGGATTACGGTTCACGAATGTATGCGCAAGCACATTATGCACTTTTTATTCCCTCATTCTTATAATCCGATGGGACGGTACACCTATACGAATATAGAGAGATCACACTCAGAACCAATGGCTTTGTATGTTCTTTCTGAAGCGCAGTGGTAAAATACTTCGGATTGCTACTGAAAATTTCTTAATAGAAAAGCCATCTGATTTTGGGCACGATCACACCTATTACTCAAAGGGTTAAAGAACTGTCCTTGGTTAAGTGTAGTTTTATTTTTTATCTGTTTGCAGATATAGAGTCATAATATAGATACTTATTTTCTTCATTTACTTGTAATTAAGTATCTAATTTTAGGTAGGCATTGGATTATAGTTTACACTTAAAATATTTTTTTTAATATTAAAGGCAATAAGGTGCCTCACTGTAGTACCAATAATTGGTGATTGACCTCGCTTATTTAGGGCAATCTCTGTTATATGGGAACCAATTTTTGACTTGATAAATTTGGAAGCAAATGCGTTGTGAATTACGTTATTCCGGCCATTTTTTTGTTTTTTACAATATCAAACACAAGCGTATAGTTTACCCAATAATATTTATTATAAATATAAGTTAGTACTCATGCGTCCGCTAAGAAGTGACAAGAGTGTTTGACGCTAAACGTACGTTGCATACGTAGGTCAAGTGTGTACACCAACGTGTGAGCGTTGCATCGCATACATTGCGTAAGTGGGATCAGTCTGTGTCTCCCATTACTGCTCCGTGGTAAATAATACAGACGTTGTATTGGTGCAGGCAAGCTCCTGTTCTTGGGCGAGCTGAACGTGTTCGTGCGTACGGCGAGCAAGTACGACGATTGCCGCGTGCTGCGCGTCCCGGCGCTGCGGCTGTGCGTGAAGCTGGGCTGGCAGTGCGTGGGCGAGCCGCGCGACCACCACGCCGTGGCGCCCTGCGCGCCCACGCGCCTGCCCGAGTACTCCAGCAACCAGGTCGGTGTCCTGAGCGGCTGAGCGGACGTGAGCGAGTAGTGGCAAGTACGCTGCGGCTGTGCGTGAAGCTGGGCTGGCAGTGCGTGGGCGAGCCGCGCGACCACCACGCCGTGGCGCCCTGCGCGCCCACGCGCCTGCCCGAGTACTCCAGCAACCAGGTCGGTGTCCTGAGCGGCTGAGCGGACGTGAGCGAGTAGTGGCAAGTACGCTGCGGCTGTGCGTGAAGCTGGGCTGGCAGTGCGTGGGCGAGCCGCGCGACCACCACGCCGTGGCGCCCTGCGCGCCCACGCGCCTGCCCGAGTACTCCAGCAACCAGGTCGGTGTCCTGAGCGGCTGAGCGGACGTGAGCGAGTAGTGGCAAGTACGCTGCGGCTGTGCGTGAAGCTGGGCTGGCAGTGCGTGGGCGAGCCGCGCGACCACCACGCCGTGGCGCCCTGCGCGCCCACGCGCCTGCCCGAGTACTCCAGCAACCAGGTCGGTGTCCTGAGCGGCTGAGCGGACGTGAGCGAGTAGTGGCAAGTACGCTGCGGCTGTGCGTGAAGCTGGGCTGGCAGTGCGTGGGCGAGCCGCGCGACCACCACGCCGTGGCGCCCTGCGCGCCCACGCGCCTGCCCGAGTACTCCAGCAACCAGGTCGGTGTCCTGAGCGGCTGAGCGGACGTGAGCGAGTAGTGGCAAGTACGCTGCGGCTTGCGTGAAGCTGGGCTGGCAGTGCGTGGGCGAGCCGCGCGACCACCACGCCGTGGCGCCCTGCGCGCCCACGCGCCTGCCCGAGTACTCCAGCAACCAGGTCGGTGTCCTGAGCGGCTGAGCGGACGTGAGCGAGTAGTGGCAAGTACGCTGCGGCTGTGCGTGAAGCTGGGCTGGCAGTGCGTGGGCGAGCCGCGCGACCACCACGCCGTGGCGCCCTGCGCGCCCACGCGCCTGCCCGAGTACTCCAGCAACCAGGTCGGTGTCCTGAGCGGCTGAGCGGACGTGAGCGAGTAGTGGCAAGTACGCTGCGGCTGTGCGTGAAGCTGGGCTGGCAGTGCGTGGGCGAGCCGCGCGACCACCACGCCGTGGCGCCCTGCGCGCCCACGCGCCTGCCCGAGTACTCCAGCAACCAGGTCGGTGTCCTGAGCGGCTGAGCGGACGTGAGCGAGTAGTGGCAAGTACGCTGCGGCTTGCGTGAAGCTGGGCTGGCAGTGCGTGGGCGAGCCGCGCGACCACCACGCCGTGGCGCCCTGCGCGCCCACGCGCCTGCCCGAGTACTCCAGCAACCAGGTCGGTGTCCTGAGCGGCTGAGCGGACGTGAGCGAGTAGTAGCAAAAAAAAAACTTCTTCACAATATGCCGGTTTGAGAAGATATTGACAATTTCTTAGGTCGAATACGACAGTATCTCAAGTTCTTAAGGCGCCCAAGCAGACAAAAAACTTGAGGTTTATATCAACATCGGAGCAGTTGTTTCGTCGTTTCGGCTCATAGTTCACATGCGCAGACACATAACACACAAAATCTCATTACCTTTACGTATGAAACCCCATATCAAACCATTAAATATACGATAAAACAGGAGCAAAAATCCGCCGGCGGTCAAGTTCCCGCCATTACAGTACAGTACTTCAGAATAAATATTGTGCGTCGATCAACTTCGTATTTCCGAATGAGACCGACCGCTTTGAGATGGAATATAATATAAAGCTATCTTACCAAATTATTCTTGCGAGATTATTAGTATTACGAGATATTTATAATTTACACACAATTTTTCAGTTCGTATGTATGTATGTAGAACCCGATAACGATAAATATAATTAAAAATTAAAAATTTTGTATAACCGACTTCAATATAAATTATTAAGAATAACTTAAAAACTATTAGTCAGACCTTGATCAACCAGCTTTCAAATAAAAAAAGAATAATCGAAATCGGTTCACCAAAAAAAAGTTATGAGGTAACACATATAAAATAAACATACAGTTTAATTGAGTACCTCCTTTTTGAAGTCGGTAGAAAAATAAATTTAAATATAATATTGAAAAATAAAACACAACGGCGGTTACATCATCGGTTGCTGTTCTTAGAAAAGATATTGACATTTATTAGTTAGTGATAAAATTAAAATTACGATTGTTTTTTAGGAACAAATTGCTTTCGTCACTCGTTTTTGTAATATTCAATACGGTTGTTTCTGATCGTTGCTGTTGCACAATATTAGTACTGAAGTACTGTACTGGCGAGTTGATATGCAGTATCTTTCATATGCTACTTTCTGTGATTGTTCCTTTCGGTTCATTATTTGTCAAAAGATTTCTTGCCATTTTCTTTTGCGCTTGTGGGATAGATGTTGATGGGATAGTTTGAGATGTCAAATCCGTGAATTTACGGTTAGCATTTACTGTTATTACATTTTACAAATTATCTATTATAAAATTTATTTTTTAGGAACACGACTCGTACCGGGCGTTTCGTTCCCAAGGCCTAGAGCTTCATTTAAGCTATGACACCAAACCTGTGGAAGGGGATGGGCCTGTGCTACTGTTGTATGGCAGTACTCTAAGGTATATTTTTGCAATGTTTAATGGGCTTGTATTAAAGTAAATTGAGGTGTTTTGAACTGTATAATTGTTGGTACTAGATGGTTCGAGAGTCTGAAGCTGATCCTGTCGGGCATCACGCGGCCGACGCGGCGCGGGCGTGTGTTCCGCAACGTGCGGCCGCGCAAGCCGCAACTGTCGCGCCACTACCGCAACGTCAGCGTCTCGCTCACGCTGCACAACTTGCAGGTAATCTGCAGTACTTTGCGAATTAAATCAAAATAGGACTGTACCTAGCGCCTTATTGTGACGTCATATCTGTCAAATCATACCAGTTAGGGAGGATGAGCATAACAGGTATTTTTTGAAATACTATATATTATATACTTATTTTCAAAAGAACCATGAACGAAAAAGTATTAAATCTAAATCTAGCACTTCAATTTCTCTCTGCAACACTGTCTGAGTAGTCATCATTGTCATCATTATCATCACTGCTGTTTTCCCTTATAAAAATAGAACATGGATTTATGTAGGTATTTAAAATATTCCACCGACTAGTATCAATATTTTAAATTAATGTATAAAAATAATTATGAGTTCAATAAATTTGGTAATACCAAGACAGAGGTAAATAAAGTTGAAGAAAAAAAAAAACATTATTAATACGCAAAATAATTTACTTCGCAAGCCGTACTTTTCAAGTGACAAATGACAGATTGCGGTCATTCGAGGTCATTGACCTTCCTATTTCTATTGGAATCGCATTTTACGCCGTTTTTTGTCTGCATAATGTTATCACAGTAACACTTATCACATTTATGTTGAAATAAATTTACTTAATAGGCTTAAGGACGATATATTGAATACCGATTTGCTTCAAACTAATTTTTGATTTTTATCGCACGTATTTTTACTACAGTAAACTTTAAAGTTAATAAATTAACTCATAAAATTCATTGATATGTGGACGACAGCATTGGTGATGCTTTTTATACCGGCTCTCCCAATATTTCTCAGGAACACGTGTTTGAGTACCGGACCAAACTTGTGTCTAAAGTCGAGTGTTTGTTAAACAGTCTCGGATTGGGTACGACTAAATCTTATCCAACTTTACCCTCAGAAGACACAGGTTTGCGCGTAACCTGCTAAAAATAAACCCCTCTGCCGCATCTCTTCAATTTCAGGGCACTTTCCTTACTGTCACAGCCAGTATCGGAATCTTTGGTGTTGGCATATCGAATGACGTACGGTTTCGCGGTCACCTGGAAGGGACGAAATCAATTATTTTATTGTGTAATTGTTATTACATCAGTAATAGTCATGGGTATACTAGGATTTATGTATCATCTTATGATACTATAATATTCTCTTTTTTAGTTTCTGACAATATTTGGAAGGCGTTCCGAAGGTTGAATTAAATAAACAAGGGGTGTACAGTGCAACCGTACTTTTTTATTAGTAAGCGAAACACGTCATTTTTATTCCGAACACGGCAGACGCGTTCTATATCATTATCAATTTTGTATCAACATCATTATCAGTTTAACACTTTCACTGTCCGGTTTTCAGACACAATAGTAAGACAATAGCAATGATCTATATGTAGTGCACGGGACAGCGAAAGGGTTAAATAAGATAATTTTTCTAATATGATATAAAGGTGTTCTGTACAAGGGGGTCATCTTTTTGAAATTGAAAAGTATATCCAGCACAGTGAAGTGTGGTGCGTTGGTACAGGTGTTCTATTGGTCGTCGTCGTCGATGCAGCGCGGCATCGAGATGCTGGGCGTGCGCGTGACGTGCGGCTCGCGGCACCGGCTGTCGCTGGTGCCCACCGACGACGGGCTGGTGCGGCGCCCGCGCGCCCTCTGGACCACCGTCTACATGAACTGCGACCTCAACGACGCAGAGATCTGGCTCAAGACGCCGGCCTCCACACCGGACGACAAGGACAACGAGGTGCGTTTACGTCAGGAAATGCTAAGGAAACCCGGCTGCCATGATTTTGATTCTGGGAGTTAATATAATGAGAGCATCTACAACTTTTACTGCCACCAGGGTGGCGCCAACCTGCATGCAATGGAAATTAAATTGTTAGGAAAATATAAATGTTAATGTTTATTTTTAAATTTATTTCCTTCATAATGGACTTGTACTGTTTTACTTTTGCCAATATCAAATATTTTAAGAAATTATCCTTTAAAATAATTTGTTTAAAAACTTCTACACAATATGTTAATGCCAATGATTTCAAAAGGAAAGATACACCCATATAGATGATATATTATAATAGCTAAACATTTTACTAATACCATCTTCATACAAGCAAAAGTAGCGCCATCTGTCATAACGCATACGAACTACATGAGTGTCGTATTGTATTGGTCGACGACGTAACCAGGGTTGGATTTCGTAGTATAATTATATTATTTGTACCATTATTTCATAGTGTGTAATATGTAGTATCGTAATGCCACTATCACTATCATCATCATCATTACAGCCCTTCGCATGTCCATTGCTGAACATAGACCTCCTCCAAGGAATGCCACAAACCACGGTCCTGAGCTATCTGCATCCATCGACTTTCTGCATGTCTTACAAGGTCGTCACTCCATCCAGTGGTGGGTCACCCTACATACCGCCTACCGTTACGAGGCTGCCACTCGAGAACCTTATTTTCCCATCGGTTGTCGGTTCTTCGAGCTATATGACCGGCCCATTGCCACTTAAGCTTACTAATCCGTTGGGCTATGTCGGTCACTCTGGTTCTACGGCGGACATCCTCATTTCTAAGTTTATTTATTTCCATAGCTCGCTGAGGGATCTTTAGCGTCCTCTCACGGTTAGCAGTGAAGGAATACGTCTCAGATCCATAAGTCATCACTAGCAACACACACTGGTTGTACATTCTCAATTTTAAAGTTTTGAGGTATACCCGACGAGAAGATGTATCGTAAGTTCTCGAACGCTGCCCAGCCGAGTTGAATCCGTCGATTGACCTCTCGGTCGAAGTTGGACTTACCTAGTCGGACTATTTGTCCCAGGTAAACATATTCGTCAACAACTTCGAGCTTAGTGCTCCCAACATCTACCGGCATAGATGTAACGGACATGTACGTTACATATGAATTTGATTTGTCCATGTTCATATTAAGATCTATCCGCTGGAAGGCACTATTGAGGTCATTAAGTATAGTGATTAGGTCCTCCAGCGATTCTGCCATAAAGATAGTCTTTATATATCGTCAGCAATTCGAAGGTGAGTGATGTACTCGCCATTGACGTTAATACCGTATTCTTTCCAGTCCAGCTTGAAAACATCTTCCAATGCAGCAGTGAAGAGTTTCGGGGATATAACGTCACACTGTCTTACGCTTCTCTGCAGTTGGATAGGTTTCGTACTCTGGTTCTGTACTTGGATAGCCATCGTAGCCCTATTGTACAAACACTTCAGCACTTCGATGTACCGACAATCAACTTGGCACCGCTGACACGACTGTAGCACCGCCCAAATGTCGACGAAATCAAATGCTTTCTCATAGTCCACATACGTAAGGCAAAGTGGTAGATTGTACTCTTCGGTCTTTTGTACAATTTGTCGAAAGGTATATATTATATGGTCTAAAGCTCTAAAGAGTCCCTCTTTCTCCACGAATTCGGCTAGATGCTGGCCCCTTGGGTTCGGATGTTTTGTCTTGTGCCTAGTTTTGCGTTGTTGTGTCCAATTAACACCTTTAGCGGGTTTTCGAGGAATGCATGGCTTTAGAGATATCTTCATACATTTCCTCCACCTTCTCGTCGGAATATGCTGAGGTTGATGTGTAAACCTGTACGACCTTCGTCGAATACCGTTTGGTGATTTTGAGTATGGGGTACGCAACCCTCGTCGACACATTCACAATCTTTACAACGTTGTTAACGAGAGACTTGTGGACGATAAATCCGACACCTCCTTGGGACAGATGGTTGCCCTTCCGGTGATAGTTACCGGACAAGACAAACTGGGTTCGAGGATTACCGTGTCTCTCTTCGGACCTCAGATAATCCTATAATATCCCAGCGCAACTTGTCTATCTCTTCTTCCAGCTAACGGATCTTCTCGTCAGTCCTCAGGATGAGTGCGTTAAATGTTGCCAGGTCGAGTCGTCTGAGGTGGCAACCAAACCTCCACCGGGGGTTCTTAGCACCCCCTGTCCCGCCGCTATTCGTGTCGTTGCTTATGGGAGGATGTTTGCCGTAGTTGCCACGCTTGGCGAGCGGATTGGCAACATTGTTTTTTTATTGTACTAATGCTGTTATCAGGAAGATGCTGCTGCCTATCTCCTGTCTGTTTCTCTTTGTCGCCTCTTACGATATCCATGGGAAGATATGGGGTAGTGGATATTCTTACCCGCCACTACGCGGCTACACTTCTATAATAATTATATTGAAATGGATTATCAAATTATGGATATTCCTAAAAGTAAAAGAATTGAAAAGATACTTAAAAATGTGCATAAAATTAAAGAGCAACTACTAACGCATTGTTTTGTGTATGTTGTTTGGTCGTTTTTTTAAAATTTTACCTCCACACCAGGATTTTTTCCTGCATCATGGGAGCAGTTTACATACACAAATTTCGTAAGGACAAACATGCAGACTCGAATCAATTATTCGTAAGCCATATAGATATTTGTGCCGTGCTGGTTTCGAAAAAGCACTGCAACTCATACCCAAGTTATTGCGCCACTGAACCGTCATATATAGGTACATATACTAGCAGCCGAAAAATCTTCATTTGAAATGTAGCTTTTCACTTATGGTGACACTGTGTACACTGGTGTACGAGCATCTTCACCTCAGTTAAAACTAGCGACATCTGGTGAATGGCTAATTAGTAGTCCTCATTTTTCGTGTGTAGAAGTGCGTGGTGAGCCCGCCGGCGATGGAGAAGTGCTACTGCCTGTCGGTGCGGCGCGTGTCGTACGGGCGCGAGGCGTGCGCGGCGGGCGAGGGTGAGGCGGGGGGCGCGGGGGGCGCGGGCGGCGCGCCGGCGCACCGCCTGGCCGTGCACGACCTGCGCGGCGCCTGGACCAAGCTCAACCGCGACCTCGCCTTCGCGCTCATCGACACCTACATCAAGACGCAGGTGCGAATATACACACCACATGCAATACCGCAACACGAGCACGGACACACACGCACACATTCACACCATGAGCAACTGATCTCACAAGCATATACGCATCACGAGTATGGACATAACGCGAGCTCACATGCACACGTACATAGCCTCAGTACGCGCGTACATGAACTGCACGCAGCTCGATCATGAACATACACGTCACATACGCAGAAAGTAGACGCGCGCACATCTACACACACACGCCTGATCTACGTTTTAATTTATATTATTTATCATTAAATTTTTTTTTGTTTCTGTAAACATTATACTATTATATACCACTTTTTAAAAAGACAATATTGTAATTTTATCTCTATTGTAAACTTAATTCTGTGCCATTTTACGGTTTGAGAGTTAAAAAAAGCATTATATAAATTTTATGAATTATACATTTACCATACCTATTCAGCAATTGACATTTAATAGGT